GGATTTTTGACAACTCATGTAGAATGACTAATTCCTTTCATGTCATATAAGCAATTTTGTGGCTTGCTAAACGAAGAGCACATGTACGGCTTGTCAAATTAGGACACGATCTATGACCACAGTCATGCCAACCACGATGGTCCTATATGTAAACTATAATCACGGCCGTACTTCGTCAAAGTGATCGCTACAATCATATAGCGTCACCATTCTTGTCAGAGGGTATGCCGTCATCCACAGGGAGCGGTCCTCTCATGTCTTTTTAAAACAGATTGGAGAGAAACAGAAACCTCTCAGAGATAGAAAGCCTAACGAATCATATCATTTCTAAACCATGCATGTTAATATCAATAAATATTTCTTATGTTTACAATATAACATCATGTTTATTACTTTATGTGTCATCATACCATAGAAATATACATTAATATTTATAATATGCATAAATAATCATATAGTTAAACACAAAAACATTTGGTTTATATCCGTTTATATAAACATGCATTAGCACATAAGTTTTGTATTAAACTATAATAAAATTAAGCATGCAACCAACCAATTAACATATTATTAAATTAGTCTACAAATATTCATTAGTATGTAAAAATAAATACTAAATTCTTTACTGAAAGCTTAGAGTTTTTCCTACATCTTTCTCTCTTCTAATTCCTGCTCTTCTCTCTCTAGCTCTTTCTCTCTCTAGAACTATTCGGTGGATGGAAGAATGAAATTGAAATGGTGAGGAAATAATAAAGAGAGGTCCCTATTTATAGAAAATGGAGACTGTTAGATTTGTGCCAAGTGGCAAAATCTTATAAGGAGAGAGGAAAGGAAAAGGTGACTTGATGTCCACAACTGACCGATGCGACTAATGGATGGCTGAAATGGCAACAATGACATGATAGCAATATGAAAACCAAAGGCACACTACCTAAACAACGGTGGCACGCCGCCCAACCGGCTTGTCTCCGCATGATGTGACATTCTTCAGTGCATGCCTCGCGCCCCGCGCATATGGGACATGGGCGCAGGGCTTTAACAGATGGGGAGGCCTTCCTGTCGTCACCAAAAAAGTCATGCTGACGTCCAGAGAAGACTTCTGGAGTTTGATGTTGGTGACCATGTCATCCTGAAGGTCTTTCCATATAAAGGAAAGATGTGGTTTGGGAAGAAAGGAAAGCTAAGTTCTCATTATAGTGGACCTTTTGAGATAATAGAGTGTGTAGGCCCCATAACATACCACCTCACTCTACCCATAGAATTCATGACCTTCACGATGTTTTTCATGTCTCCATGCTTAAAAGATACAATCCTAACCCTTCCCATATCATTTCGTATCAATAGATTTATGTCAACTCAAGCACGACCTGCACAAAGTACTCGATGGATATTATCGATCAAATGGAGAAGATTCTACGCAACAAGAGGATTTTGATGGTCAAGGTGTTATGGCAGCATCACCTATCGGAGGACGCAATGTGGGACCTTGAGGAAGAGATGCGAGAGAAGTTTCCTGAATTGTTATGAAGAACATTACAAATTTGGTGGACCAAATTTATTTTAAGTGGGGTGAATGTAATATCCTGAGACCTCTACACTTAAATGTGGTGTTGAAAACTCTATTTTGGCCTTAAGGCCATTTATAATATTTTTACATACATTCTTATAGTGCCTGCTTTTTAAACTAACTCATGCTTTAGAAATTTTTAAATATATGTACGTAGTATTTTTCAGGAAATAATGGGAGAAAAAGGTGAGAAATCAAAAAATGGAATATGGGAGAAAAATCCCTAACGCGCGGGAAAAAGGCCAGCGGCCACAAGCCATCGTGCCCACATGTTTGCGCACACCCATGACATTATACGCGCAGGCGTGCTCGCCAGCATCTACGTGCACGCTGTGCGCGAACTACGCGCCCATGCCTTGCGCGTCGGCAGGGCATGGCCTTCCTTGCCGTGCAGATCCCACTGCCGGTAGCCTCTCCCTTGCTGCTATGTGGACGACCAGATTTGTGCCATGTGGAACGCATCCAATAGTTCTCCAACTTTATAAATATGGACCCCTCCCCCTCACTTTTCATCCACTTCCATTTTCCCTTCTTCCGAGGTCCATTTTTTAGAGAGAGAAAGCAAAATTCTAGAGAAAAGTGAAATTTTAGAGAGAGAAAGTGAAATTTGAGAGAGAGAAAATAAAGTTCTACAGAGAGAAAGCAAGGAAAAAGCCCATAGGAGTCACCGAGGCAGTCGTAGATGCAAAGTACCCTTCCATCCCACATTTAAAAGTTCAGTTACTTGCTAAGTGTTGGTAAGGGAATCTTGTATTTCTGTTTACACATCTGAGTGCTCTTTTTAGATTAATTAACTTATTGTTATGATGCATGATGTTGTTTGCTATTTTTTTATTATGAAAGCATTTGACATCGAATATGGTTGATGAACTATTGTATTGTGTTGTGAATCGTGTTATGATTGGCCCTGTACTGAGGTAAGTGAAAGGAACACATGGATTGGGTATATGTGAATTGAGGATTGATATGAAGTAAGAAAAGCTAAAGGATTAAAAATTCGTTAGGTTCTTTAAGGGGTTTATGTTTATATTTCTGTCTCTAAATATGAAAATGTTGGTGAACCGCTCCTTGTGAATGACAAGTGTTTCTTCAAAAGAGAGTGGATTCGCAGAGCTATAAGTAGGGACCATAGTGGTGAAGTACAACCGTTGTCATAGGATCCACCCTTATAATGGCATGACATACAATAACGTGCCGAGGTGTGGCATACTGTAATGTGTTGAGGCATGGCACACTGTAACATGCTGAGGTATGGCACACTACAACGTGCTGAGGCTTGGAACATTGTAATCTGCTAATATGGAATTGAAATGATGTCATTCATAGTGGTAGTTACGAATCCTCTCTGCTCTCAGTAGATATATGTCGGAATGGCTTTATGCGAAAAATGATAAAAGATGTAAACATGTGATTCTTTCGTGTGTTGTGTTTCTTCGTTAATTGCATTGTTGGCATAACTAGTTTATATTTGAAAACATGATTTTGTGTATCTCTATGGTTTATTGCTCTGTTTGATATATTTAAACGATTTTCTTAAAGAATAAATGTTCTAAATATTTAACTCTACCTCACTCTGCAACGGATCTCCAAGGTATGTCATTCATTGGGTAAGAATGTTCACTTTAAGGCTATTAACTCTTTAAATCTTAGTAGTATAGTTTAAATACTGTTTCTCTTACTAAGTTTTATGGAACTCACTCTTTTCCTGTTGGGACCTCCCAAATGATGTAGAGATGACTCGCCCGCAATGTTGGCCCTTGAGACTTACCTCGATCCATTCTTGTGTTCCTGGAGTATTTATGAGTGCTTATTTTTTTCGCACTCTAATGAACAATAATTTTTGTAATTAACTAACTTTTGTACATATATCTATTCAATGACCCCTTGTTGGTCTTGGTTATACAAACACTTATCCTAAATTTTGGTTGTAAGGGATTTTTAATTTTTCGCTATATATATTTTTCTATTGCACTTGTATCTGTTTTTGTTATTAGGCACACTTGTACCCTACCAGATATCTGGGATATTACAAATTATATATTCTGACTATGTAGCTTTGAAGTACCTACTTAAGAAGAAAGAAGCAAAACCAAGAATAATTCCATGGATACTCATTCTACAGAAGTTTGATATGGAAATACATGATAAAAAAGTGCTGGAAAATATTTCTGTTGACCATTTTAGTGGTTTATCACTGAATGAAGAACCACTGCCATTGAAAGATGACTTCCTAGATGAGTATCTATTTTCGATTCATCAATCGACTCCATGGTATGCTGACCTTATTAATTACTTAGTTACCAATGCACTTTTAAATGAATAATTTAGAATTGAAAAAGATAAGACTAAAAAAGATGTTAGATATTATGTTTGGGACGATCCTTACTTACAGAAACATTATGTGGATTAGATAATTAGGCATTGTGTTTCAGAAATAGAAGTTCCTTCCATTCTGAAAATTTGTCATTCATATGCTTGTGGGGACACTTCGGTCTGAAGTGGAAAACCTGCAAGGTGCTAGAATGTGGCCTTCCTTATTTCACGATTCATATATGTATTGTAAATCACGTCAAAATTTCTAAAGAATTGGAAATTTAGGATGCAGAGATCAAATGCCACTCCACTAACACCTATTTTAATTTGTGAAATTTTTTATGGTGAAGGCATAGATTTTGTGGACCATTTCCTTTATCTTTTGGTAATTCTTACATATTGTTTGTTGTTGATTATGTTTCAAAATGGGTGGAAGCCAAGGCTACCTGAGCTGACAATGTTAAAGTCATTGTAGATTTTGTCAAATCTTATATTTTTATTAGGTTTGGAATTCCCCAAGCAATAATAAGCGACAAAGGAACTCATTTTTGAATCGAGTTGTAGAAACTCTTTTCAAGAAGTACCATATCACTCACTGGATTTTTATAGCTTATCACCCACAGACTAACAGGCAAGCTGAAGTGTCTAACAAGGAAGTGAAGCTAATTCTTGAAAAAATAGTCAATTCTAATAGAAAAGATTAGAGTCTATGACTTGATGACGTATTATGGGTTTACAAGGCTACCTTTAAAACCCCCATAGGTATGTTGCCTTATCGCTTAATCTTTGGAAAATCTTGTCATCTTCCTATTAAATTGGAACACACGGCTTACTGGGCAATCCAAAGTTATAATATGAAGTTAGAGGAAGCTGGAGAATACTGGAGATTATAACTGCAAGAATTGGAAGAAATTAGAAATGATGCCTACGAGAATTCAAGAATTTAGAAAGAGAAGACAAAAGCTTATCATGATCAAATGATTTTTAGGAAACAATTTTTAAGAGGGCAGAAAGTTCTACTTTATGATTCTCGTTTAAAGTTATTTCTCAAAAAATTATGATCAAAATGGTTAGGTACTTTTGTCATTACTAATATATTTCCTCATGGTGCAGTTGAAATAAAAATTCTAAACACCAATAAAATTTTCAAGGTCAATGGTCATCAATTGAAACATTTTTATGATGGATTCCCTACACAATATGTTGAAGAAATCACCTTGAGAAGTCCTAAAGAAGGCACCTGAAGGAATTGACCATGTCTAGCCTAGGATGATAAACAAGAGCCCTAAATGGGAGGCAACCCATTTAGTTATTTTTTTGTTTACTTTATTCTCAGGATTCTTAAATTAGTTGGAATTTTTATTTTTATTTTTTTATTATTTGTTTTTCTATCATCTTCATTTTTTTATCAACTGGAAATTTTTCTGATAATTTGCAGCTCTTTAATGGAGGGGCACGTACAAATTTATTTTTTGGGTTTAAATTTGGGACTTTTGCACAAACCTTACCCAAGGCTTATGCCACGGCCCCTAAACACCCAAATTTTTTATTTTGCCCTAGAACCTCAAAGGATTAAATTTCCTTTTACTTTTCTCTTCCTTTTGTGCCGACACCCACTTTCCTCTTCTCCCAAATCGGCTTCTCACCTCCCTCCTCCCACGTCTAACCCACTGCAAAGTAAGCCTCCTCTATTTCAACCCATCGCAAAGCAAGTCAAATAAGAGGGAAGAGAGCTTTCACCAAGTGCACTTGATCTAAAAACAGATGGCTATGACTCACAGATGGGGCTAAAGAAAATCAACAAATTGCCTCCAGCAGAAGTCGAACCACCATAGGCCGCACCAAAAGAATTGAATCAACCTTACAATGCGGATGACTCAACGATGGCCGACCAACACCGCAGCTCCGTAACTAATATGCCTGACTCTCTAACCCGAGCGCAAGGCGAGCAAAACCCGGAGATGAGTTGCGCAAGGGAAGACCCGGACTCACAGTAGCCCCAGACGAACAGACCTATGAGCGAAAGCATGGAGACCAGGTGGGCACAAAAGAGAGAAAGAGTCAAAAAAGGTAAGCACATTCTCCCACCTGCTAAATTCGAGTTACACGTCTGCCTCACTTTCCTGATGAGTTCAGAGAAAGAAAGAAATGGAGAAATTTGTACATTACCCATCGTGGCTGGTAAAATAATTCATCACCATACTCTTGAATCTTTGAATATTAAATATGGTGTATTTGAATTGATTTGTGATAATGGCTGGGAGTCTCATTTTAAAATTGATTTCCCCATTTACGTGGAATTAGTTGGGGAATTTTATGCCATTTTTTAGTTTAAGAAAGTCATTAATTTCACGTTGAAAACACCAAATTTGATTATATTTCGATTAATGGGAAAAAGATTTAGTTTTTCAATCATTGAATTAAACAAGGCACTTGGATTCGTGAGTGATGCACCTTGTTGCGATTTTTGTGATGAATATGATGCTATTGCTATCTATGCTAATTTTTATGATAACCCACCTGACACGTTTAGCAAGGCTAAGGACCTATATTTGCGTAATCCTTGTTTGAAATATATTCATAGGTTCCTATCTTACTCATTTTTAGATAGAAAAGATGCATCTAGCATCCCGTCTAAAACTGAACTGTATTTTCTGTGGTGTATGACTCAGAAAAAAAAAAAAGTGAACTTAGGATTTTAGTTAGCTTCTCAATTTTTGAATGTCATTTCTTTTAAAAGACCGTCAATCTTAGGTTTCATCATCACCTGCATCACTTATTATGTTGACTTAATTGATCTTGATTATAATGATTGTTACTTTTCTTGTACATTAACTGCATGGGACTTAGGATGTTTGGATGACATGGGATTTTTGCATCATGAGGGTGGTATTCAGGTTTTCCCCATCAGGACCAATTGTACCTAGAAACGTGAGGGCATTTGACAAACGAAAAAAAGGCGGGCGACCTATTGACAATGCAAAATCTACATCAATTTCTGTCCCACAACAATCCACCCTACCTTTGGAAGTAATATTATAGTAAATTCAAAAGATGGATGAATGCCTAACTAGCTTAGAGACGTTGGGCCTTCGTATGGTAGAAAAATTGGACCGGATATAAGTACTTAGCAAACCAGTATTGAGAGCACTCCAAGACACGTAATCAAGGCAGTTGACATGTTCCCTCACTTTTTTTATTTACTTAATCATCATTTATAACACATCGGGATAATGTGTGGTTTAAGCATGGGGAAGGAGGGGTATGCTATATTTTGGGCAGTTCCCTTAGTATTTTACTTTATTATTTCTACTGCATTTTCCCTTTTTATGATACTTATTAATGAACATTTTGACTTTGCCCATTTTGTTTTTCACACCACAATTATACATTCAACGATTTTTAGTTCTAACTTTCACAGCTATCTCAATTATTCTTTAAACAACTCAAATCTGATATTTCAAAAATTAAATTGCAATTACAACCGTCTTTTAGGAATCGTAGCTTGTTTTTCATCTTTTCAAACTATGAGTTGTTATTTTTGATTATTGTCTTAAACATGATAAGCAATAAAAGTGCTCAAACTAGTTTTAAATAAATTTTTATTTTTTAGCATGTACCAAATGCATAAAATCTTTATATCTGGACAAGTTTGGTGATTATTCTGCTATGTATTAATTGTTCTTCTCAATGAAAATAAATTTGTGCTAAAATTTGCAAGACTCTTTCATTTATGTTTGGATATTAGTCAAAGTGATTATTCATTTGTGTGTTTCTATGAAAGTCTATCCTATGAACTACTAGTTGATGGTTGTATTTCCAATTTGAAAATTCAGATGTAATAGATCAAGTTGTGATAGAATGGTTGGGAATAGATGGGTTGAAAGTAAAGAGTCGGGAGTTGGTGATTTGTTTTGTGTTGTGCTCGGGGGCAAACACAAGATAAGTGTGGGGGATTTGATAATGTGCATAGATATCATTTTTGTTGCTTAGTTTGAGTGCACAATTTGGTCATTTATTGCCTATCTAAAAGAATTTAGTTGAATTCTAATGGAGGTGTAAATATAGGAGTTAATTCTAAAAAAATAACATAGCTAAGTTAATTTTTGCATAAAGATATTTATCAATCTGCGATTAAGCCTTGAGCAAGGCTTGTACCCTAGGGGCATCAACAAATATTAGTTTTTTTATCTAGATTCCTTTGAATTCTAAATCCTATCTTGATTTGGAGACGTGACTCATGAGTCAAAATGATATTTTTAAAAGCTGAATGATAAGATCGAAATCAGAGGACTCTATCTTCACAAGAGTTAATCATTATCTTTTTTGTTCTTTAAATAGGGGAGGATTAGAGAGCAAGGAAAAAGCAAATTTTTATTTTCTCAGTTTTTATATTTTTGTAAATTTCTTCTGCTAGCTTTGAATGGTTGCTGGTGTTCAACATTCAATATGAGCAACTAGATATTCTAATTTCTAGTTGAAGATCTAATTGAAGTTTGATTCAAGGACTGTGAGATCTAATTGATTTATCTGTTTTCTTTTTAATTTTTAGTATTTATATATTTTCTATGCATACGAAAATTACTATTTGTTATATGTTACAACATGGCTCGTTGTGCAATTAGCATAATAGTATATTGTTAGTCAAGATTCGTGAATCTGCAATTCTTCATGTTATTCTGATAACTAATAGTAAATTAGTGTTTACACTAAGAAAATATATAATGTAGTCTAAATGAACAGTGCAATTGAGTTTGTTGTTAGAATTGGGTATTTCTAGTTCTTAATGATGCTAGTGAATTGAACTCTAGGAGTATTTTCAATATTGTTCATTAGCGAGAGTTAATCAACAAGCGTTTCTTGGTTAATTTGAAAAATTGGTTATTAGAAGTGTCACCAATAACTAAAACCGATTTATTGAAAATTGGTAAGAATCATCTTTGCATTAATGATCGATCATATGAATCGAAACTAAAATTATTTTTTTGATTGAAATTTATTCATACTTATTTTTATTTAATTTGTTGATATATTTTTTATTTTATCTTAATCATTTAATTGTTTATTTCTAATTTTTAAAATGAAACCCTCTATTTTTATTTTTATTTTATTTTAATTATTGATCATAAGAGAATATTATATTTTAATTCCCTGTAGATTCAACCCGATTCACTGCCATTATAATTTAATTTATTGTTAAAATAGGAATTTATTTTTGTTGGATTTGACACCCATCACTTTACATAGACTTTTATTTTTTAATTCTATTCAGAATAGGATTTTAAATTCTTATCCAAATTCTAACACAAGTTAATTAGAAAACAAATACAAAAATATTAAAATAATGAGATCTTATCCTAAGATACTTAAAATAATTAAAATAAACACTAAAATAATATTTTTCCTCCAACTTTTGAAGAATCTAGATCTTCCTTGGACTTCAATTTTGAGTAGAATCTCTACTCCAATTTTGGCATTTAAATCACATGGATAATTGTTGATGAAGTTCCCTTAATTTGGAAACTTTACAAGACTTGGGAAAAGAAGAAAACTAGTCCAAAAGGACTTAGGAAAAGGCTACCCACTCAGGTAGCTTGTTGGGGACATGAGGGTCGCACGCTGGTGGCGTGCGGATCTCTCTTGTGCGCACGTGGCGTCGTAGATGTACACCTGTGCATGTCGGCACATGCATAGGTGTTGCGTACGCAGGCTGCTTTGTGCGCACTTGTGTGCGTGCGGAGTGGCGTGTGGATGTTGCTGCTCGCATGCCCTGCATATTTACCTCATGCAGGAAACATTCCCGCCTGTGCGGGTGATCCTTCTCGTAAATGTGGTTGCTCACAAATGTGGTTGCTCGCAAATGTGCCAAAGGAGTGTCACATGCTCGACACATGCTGTTTGCCATTCTCCTTAAAGTTGATTGGCCTTTTTTGGACCTTCTCTTGGCTCAAATAATGATGTGATCGAAAAGGTCTTGAACTCATCTGTTCTCATGTTAGAGGTCAATCTTCCATCTTGGCAATTCGTGAAGACCATGGGTTCTCTCATGGGCTTAAGCCCATTCTTTTGTCTTGCCTTG